CTCATAATGTGTTGCGCAAGGCAGGCATCAAGCGCTGCGGCGATAATACACACTCACGTTTTGGAGTCGGGACCATAGACTGTAAGGTCGGGACATGACGGAATATTCACTTGCACAATCGGGCCAGCAGTGCATCGTGACTGAAGTCTTTTTAAGTCTTACCAGTTTAAACATTCAAGCGATTTTAAACTAATCTGTGCTCGCGCGCTCTCTGAGATTATTTTCTATGCGCTCTCTGAGATTATTTTCTATGCGCACATTCATAGAAAATCCGCCTCAAAAACAGCTGGCCAGTAACTATTTTTCGCGGATTATATTGCTTTAACACGCAAAATTGTCAATTTCGGTCTTTGTGAGTAGGCTATACTCTAAATATAGTCGGTTTTGTCTTTAATAAGCATAAAACGTATGCCAGTATAATGAACACAGGATCCGTGCACTAGCTCTTAAAGTGACAGAAGCCATATGTGTCTGTCATTAATTTTGTTGTCAAAACAACAAAAGATGGCTTTAAGTTAAAGGAATCAGGATTAATAGCCTATGTATTTAATTTATTCAGGACTAAAATACTACCCAGTGTTATTTTCCATTTGATTACTTTATTCAGTATCTGTATATGAATACTGGTGTTAGACCTATTCAAAAACTTCTCTTTAATTGTCTTTATTTGTATCTTTATTCTATTGTATTTATTTGTGCTACTTTTTTCAATTTAATTAAACAATTTAAATCAAGCTTCCTTGTGATGTGTAAATTCTTAACAACAATATTACCCCATTGTAAAAATGCAATGAGCGCAAACATTTAGGCAAGATAAATGTAATAATTTTGTTTGGAAAAAATGCCCCCCCTTTCTCCCCCTCAAACAAAAAAAATCCCCCCCATGAGAATCATCTAAGGGGGGATTCCCCCCCCCCCCCCAATTTTCCAAAACGAAATTCAGGCCCTGCTTGGACTATTTTAACGATGTCTTTAACTTTTCTGGGCCGGCAAGTTTCGATCCCTTAAGAAGCCTATGGAGGAGTGATCCAGCTCTCAGATTAAATAAAAAATATCTTAATTTGTGTTCCGAAGATGAACGAAAGTCTTACGGGGTTGGAACAACATGAGGGTGAGTAATTACTGACAGAATTTTCATTTTGGGGTGAACTAACCCTTTAACTGAAATTAAAGCTGATTTTTTTAATTTTGCATGTGGTGAGGAACTGGTTTTATGAAAGACAGAGTGTGCATGTTTTCTTTCGCTCCAGGATAGCTCAGAGCAGGGTTTCTCTCAGGGGAGAGAGAAATGGAAAACCCAGAGTGATTACAGAAAGATTTGAGTGGTGAGAGGAAATCCTGCTGTTGTACTGAATATCTGCAAGGCTACCTGTGCCTCAAGGCCACTAATATTCAGTACAACAGAACTCTTTCTCATGTAAGACAACTCAATTTTATTTTTACTTTCGTCTTTAGGGTCAATTGTAATTATAACTGAAGCTTTGAAAAATGAGTGCAACTGCACTCACATGAAAGGCCAAAGGTATGATAGAGCCTTATGTTCGTATGATTCATTGTAAGTGCATTAAATCAACTTGTTTGTGCCCCTCTGCATATATATATATATAGCCTATATATACACTCAGCTTCTCTCTGGGACTGATGCCATGTTAATCTTCTATTTGGCTCATCCTTCACCCAGTCCTTCTCTCACACTCCTTCAGCACTTTTAATTGTATTATACACAGTATAGACTTGTTCTTGACAATACGGCTGTCACTATGGAGGTTTGGCTGATGATTAATTGTCATACAAATAATTCTGATTGCCAATTCAGTAGACTTCTCTGCTTATGTTATGTCACTTAGAAGCATCAGTAATGTATGATAGGAGCAAATATTTGTAAAGAAATATTGCACAAGGTAGAATGACATACATATAAGGGCTCAACAGAAAGGACTTTTTTCAGCTGGTTTGGTCAGTCCAGTGGTTCAGATTTTTACTTGGTTTACTTTCCATAAAAAGAAAAACTGAAGTTTTTCATACAAACAAAACAAAAACTAGGTTTTAAACTGCCAATAATAGCTGAAAATTATTATAGCTATAAATTCATAAACACTTCTGCTAGCTACATAAGCCTACCTTGGAAAAGTTTAAACACCATCAAACACATGGATACATCTCTTCCTCTCTGTAACCGGCAGTCAACAATAGTTTTTGGAATTATCTTAATGAGGAAATAAAGTGAACACAAAGAACTTTGTGTTTTAACAATATAGCGTACATTATAAATGACTCAAAGCAAAAGACACACCTACTGTGATATAGTACAGTGGTGCATTGTAAACTTGAACTCAACTCACATAATGCATACTGTACATACAGTGCATACTGTAAGACATGATTTTTAACTTCAAATTCCCTTGAAGTTACAATGTGTGGTGTGAATGTAAATAATTGCAAAGGACTTATTGGATAAAACACAGTACTCCTCCTTACAAGAAAACACACAATAGCACAATCATCACACATACAGTTTCTTATACAGAGCACATCATCTCATTTACCTCGTTTCCACCAAAAATGAACTGCTTCGGAACTGGTGCTGGTTCAAAGTTGGTTCAACTTGCGAACCCGTTTGTTTTTCCACTGACTAGAGAGCCCAGCGAACGACGTCGTTACGTCACTGTGTACGTCACCATATGTCTTAGCTTTCCCATTCCCGTCGTGTTGTTGGTCACAATAACCCCGCCCCCAGCGCCCGACGTAAGCATGACGTGGTAAAAGAACGGTTCTAGTCCAGCAAAGAGTTGGTGCCGGCACCGGCTCCGAATCGGCTCTCAAAATGCTTTGGTGGAATAGGGGTAATTCTGGGTTTTTCATTGTTCCTTGTCCAAGATTTTCGCGAAACGGCAATAACCACATTGTTCAAACAGCTCACATCAGGAATCTGTCTAAGAGTTGGATAGTTTAGTTGCGCATCACATTAATCTCCAAGCAGCAGTGTGGACTGTTGGGGGTCACAGAGGCTTGACAGAATGCCTTCCAAACATGGATTCATCTACTCAATCTCAGTCAACCGATTACAACACAATTCATACTGTAAAAATTAAAGTGAATAATATTACAATCACTGTATCTTGTACCACAGTCTTATGTTTTTGTCATGTCAAGTACCAGGCTGACATAAGAATAAAGAGGAAATTTAAGGAAGGATGGACTGTTTAACACATTATGAACTGTTTATTTGCACATGTTGTCCACATTGTTTTAACACTAGGCTATATCAGATAAGCAAACACATGATGATATATCACAAACTAAAATGGTGCGACTGTTTAGTGAATTGGCCCTTTAGTGTGTGTGGGATTAGCTCCAAGCCAAACACATGACTCCCAACCTTTCAACACAAAGCAACCAAACAAACCACACATGATAAAGGGAGAACTGAGAAAAAAATATCAGATTGCTCATTCAGTGCCTGCTTTGCCATTTTTCATTATTCCTCTTTTACTGTCAGATTATCAGAGATCTGTATTCCACCATGGTACCCTTTGCTTGTTTTTCTGTTGTTTGTTTAAAACGTTGATAACATCCTGGAAAATTAACTGCTTACAGCAACCACTTCATCTCTCTACCATTTAAAAAACTAAATCACCCTATTAACTTTTTGAGTACACATTAGTAGAATCATCATAAAAGTACATCCGTTTTTGTTTTGCTACTGACAACAAATTGACACATCAGAAGGGACATCTATCCAGTCTATCTATCTGTCATGATAAACAAAGACATGATGTAGGCCAATAACAACACTAGCTAGTAGCTATCCAATGATGCAGCAATTTCTTGCCAGAGTTAATGTTTTTGGGGATAATAAATTGCATGGTTGGTTTATGAACGGCAAATTGAGCTGGTAAAAATGATCAATGCACTTGGGTCTTCATGAATAATGAAAAATTCAAGACTAAAATGTCCTGAAAATAAATATGTAGAAAACTACTTCCTTCGGCACACTGAGAAGTTGAGGATGAATATTAATCATAGCCTTGGTCCACTGAGAAATTTGAATAAGGTGGTACCAATGGTAATTCTCTAAATAATCTCCCTTGATCAGACCCATGATTTACATGCCACTTCAACCTTTTAATCAATAATCTGATTCACTAAGCCTCTTATATAGCTGATATTAACCTCCTCAAATGGACCTTATTGGCTAATTATTATTGTACCGAGTGCCATCTTAGTGCTGAAATGCAGCAGGCTTTCCTCTCAGCTGGTGGTTTTGCATGCGCTGAAAGACTTTGCTTCACGAGAGGATAATAAAGGACACGTGGCACGAAAATATTTCTAATGGCATGCTGGCTAAGCTATTGTATGTTATACTGTTGTGATACAAGAGCAATGCGGTCCGCAGCCGGCATCTACTTATGCGTGCCCCTCTGTTGACAACTGCATCATAAAACAGTTGGGTCCCTGTCACAAAACCAATTATTCAATGACGACTTTTCTGGGAAAATACAACATGTAGTGGGCAACAATAGGTTCAGCATAGAGGCAAAGTCAAATAGAATCCACTTCACAACAAGAGAGCTTCTTTGAGCCTTGTTGTTTGTCCAGTTCATTGCACCATGAGTAGGCCTGACCCTTCTCTCCCACGGATAGTCTCTGTGTAATCTATAAAGCTATTGAGCTCTGACTTTGAAACTCTTTTTTTTTTGTTTCCTACTGTTCTCACAGCACTCAACTGTAACAGCCTGAAGAGAGAAGCACAAGAGGCTAAGATTTCACCAACAAGCTTGGAAAACTCCTGAGTAACAGCATCCTAATTCAAGTAGGGCTAAAGCACTTAGACTGAAAAACATGATACAACTCAAATTCCTGTCCAAAAAAAGTAACCAATACTAAACGCTGCTATCGGCCCACCATATTGCAATGAAATGTCAAAACCTTTGCTACTAAAGTGCAATAGTTGTATTAATACGGTAACCATAATTCATTTGTGGGTAAACAAGACTCACCTGCAGTTCACACCAGGCAACTTCCACCCAGGTTTCTGTGTCCAGACCCTTGTAAACAGTTTTGAACGCTCCTCTGCCAAGCTCGATGTCAAATTTTAGAAAGCGGCCACTGGGCGAAGTGGCAACAGCCTTCATCTCAGCCTCTTCTTCCTGTTCTCTATCTCTTTCCTTCCCCTTTAGAGTGGTCGCCGAAAGGCCGGTCTTATCAAGATCTTGTGTGCCATGAGTGCCATCCTCACACAAAGCAGCCGAGGCACTCGCGGGTAACTGTTGGGCTCCGCTGGTGAAAACAGAGTCGGAGGCACAAAACTCGAGGTGAGGGGCGCTGTGAGGGGCATCGGGGGTTACTTCCACCTCATCATCCTCTTCACATATCTCCACGCTCTTTCGGAAAAAACGCTTGTTCTCCCGTTTCCTGGACGGTTCGTGGGCTGCTGGGGACGAGGGCACGGTGAAGGTCAGAGGTCTGACCGGTGCATCCATTTCTTTACCGTCCTCCACTCCACCTCCTCCTCCTCCTGCGCACCACGCTCTCTTTTCCTGGGTCTGGGAGGAGGGGAAGTCAGACGGCATGCTGTGCATCCTCTCTCTCTCACGGGCAGCCCTGTTCCCCTGGTCATTCTCCTCCTCCTCCCTCTCTCCATCAGGTTTCTCTCCAGAGGATTCCTCTGTGGCAGTGGGCTCTCCTGGGTCCGTAGCCATGGCGATTGACCTTTCCCACTCCTCCTCCGCCCCCTCCTGCACTCTGGCTCTCTGTCAGTCCCCGTCTCTCTCACTCAGTGATCACCCTCTCACCACTCTTATGAAGTTTCTCAGTCGTCCTTCCAGTCTTGCCAGCTGTCAGCGACAAGAATTACTCACTCTTTTCTGCAGCTCTTATCTTCCACGTTCCCTTGAGTTCACAGGAGTATCAGAGGGTGCTTGTTTTGTTAGTATATCCGTGCAGGTTAATTCAGTTTTTGATGTGTACTTTCCTTATCTCCATTTCCTACATAGAGTTTCTTCTGGCTGGCTCAGGTGACTGATTCACAGATAAATTACCTTCATTGAGTGAGGGGGGATTTTCAGGTGTATCCTAAGGAAGAAAAACACATTCATTATTGAGTATTTGGCTCAAGTATGAGCATTTAACAACCATCACACAATGTCACAGAAAGGGACACGTTTTTCATTATATCATACACTACAATTTTTTTTAAATCTTATTTTATTTAAAAGTCTCTATATTTGATATCGTGAATAAGGATGTCATAAGAACATTAGAACGGCTACAAGCACACAGAAGAACTACACGTGGAAGATGGCGGCGACGCCCCAACTCGTTGGCAAGAAAGGTGCTAAGAGTCGAATATGGAATATGGCATTCGAGGGTGATGACCACAGCATCATTATTGATGTTCTTAAGCCAGTATGCAAACGATGCCATCATGCATTTCAAATCAAGGGAGGTAACACCTCACATTTGGCGAAACACCTAAAAGACAGGCACCCTGATCTTTTTAAAGAATTCAAGGTGAGTTTCAAGTAATATTAACATCATATACAAACTTTAAAACTTCTGATCTTCAGCCTGAAACAGCGTTATCATTGTGTTTGAGCGGCAGCTGGCATTGTTGCAGTAAAACCGGCTAACGTTTTCCATTCAATGTTTGCGTTAGCCAGTTATTTGTTAGTGATGCTAACACAATGCTATGTTATAAACGTCACCTCCTAGTGGGCTAGCCTACATACAGTGCTTAGCATGTGAATACACCCATGCTAAAGTTGACTAAAAAGAGGAATAAATGCAGATTTTTATTTTTAAAGGCCAGTTATTTCATGGATCCAGGATACTATGCATCCTGAAAAAGTTCATAAAACCATGCCAATCTCTAGGTATGGTGAAGGGTATGTGATGATGTGGGGCTATTTTAATTCCAAAGGCCAAGGGAACTTTATCAGGATGCACAGTATCCTGGATCCATGAAATCACTGGCCTAATAAGATACAAAATCTGCATGCCTCTATGGGAATTTAACATAGGGGTGTCCTGACTTATGCCCCCTGTATTTTAAGGAAGATTATTTATTTATTTACGATAGATTATTCATTCACAAAGAAAATTGGTGACCTTAAAGGTTGTTTTTTTCCTCATTTTTTTTAATTAAGGCATTAAGATCAATTTCCAAAATATGATTTTTTATTCCTCTTTTTAATTAAGTCATCTTTAGCATGGGTGTGTTCACTTATGCTAAGCACTGTACATACATACCATTTTCAGCAGCCATTCTTCAGTGTCACATGATTCTTCAGAAATTATTCTAATATGCTGATTCGCTGCTCAAGAAACATTTCTTATTACCAATTTTGAAAACAGTTGTGCTGCTTAATATTTTTGTGTAAACCGTTTTTTTTCAGGATTCTTTTTATGAATAGAAAGTTAAAAAACAGCATTTATTTGAAATAGAAATATTTTGTAACATTATAAATGTCTTCACTGTTCCTTTTGAACAATTAAATGCTTTATTTAAAACAAACAAAAACAAATCTTACTGCCCTCAAACTTTTGAATGGTAATGGTATATTGTATATTTATTTTCAATACAAAGGATGTTTTTAAAATAGCTTCTTAAGCAAAGTTCTTTCATCAATAACCTTGATTATAAACTGCAGTGGAAATGCTCGATTTAACAAGCTTCTTAGTTCTAAATGCATACATAAACTTACTAAAGCATTAGGCTAAATAAAATAAAAATATTTTTATATTTAATTTTTGGTACAATTAAGACCAGGAACATACATCATTACAAGAGAGTAGGACTGTTTACAGTAGCACTGGGCCTGCATTTTACAGCAACACCGGCTATTGTGTCCGTTCACAAACTGTCACTAAAAACTATTCAAATGTGCATAATTGCCAAGGGCACTTAGAATAACTTGTGTGAATTAATAAATCCATTAAAATGATTAGTAGTCCAGCTATATTCTAAACAAGAGCCCTCAAACAATCAGGAAAGTAAATGACTAATCCAGTTAAGCTGTCCAGAATCATGAGGAGTTCCTGGTGCATAACAAATCTAAAAAGTGCCAACAAATATTAGCCATTAAAAAACTAAAGGAACACAGCGGATTGTGATTGATTAATAATGAATGATGGCATAAAGGACCTTTAGGGTTAAATAATTCAGAGGCAGAGCAGATACAGAATGAACATGAGTGACCATCACAGATCATCGCTAAGGGACCATATGCAGTAAAACCATATTAATTGTAGTCAGCAGTATTGGTCCACATGGGGAGCATTACAGCTTCTCATGTTTACAGTGAGTGGATTTTCATTGTTCCTCTAGTAGTGTTCTCCAGATGCATTCATACAGAGCAACACCTGACACTGCCTTTCACAAGATTCAATGATCTTTGTGACCCATAAAACCAACTTCTGCCTCCTATCACAAACTCAGTCTCCTTCTTTTTCTCTCTGGTGACATCATTATCTTCAGCTCTCCTCTTGTCATGCTCATCTGTCTTCTGGCAGGCCACATCCATCAGGTTAGATTGCTACAGGCAACATGCTAATAATAACATGACTAATTCAGAGGTGGAAAAAGATGTTCCTTGCTTTCTCTCAGAAAATAAAACTGGGAAACCAAAGGTTAACTATTTATTCCGGTTGTTATGGAAGTAAAGGTGAAATAGCAGGAAATTTCTGTTGTGCTTTGAGCAAGTGAAAGCAAATTACACAATGTTGTACAAAACTACGGCTGCAACCGAAAGCTTAAGCAGTTGACTTGTTGACTTGCTGTCCTTTCACAGGCAATGACTTTGCAGGCAGCATTGGCACACGAAGGTACCTCACAAAACCCATTTCGGACTTCTGAGGCAGCATAGTGGTTTAATAATCAACAGAGCTTTGGTGATAAGTCATAACTAAGCGAATATTTAATTACTGCAATAATTTCTTGCTAGAAATGGCATCAAATGTGGAAAAAGTTGTCCAAAAACATACTTTTACCCACAAACTGACCACCAACCGCAACTTTCAGACACCATATTTATTTCTTGTTCAAATGTCACGGAATGGAACGCACAGGATTGTGGGATATCACAGGCGAAGGATACATCTATGCTGCCTTCAAAAGTTGATCAGATGAAGGTATCTCAGGAAAGAGGAAGTTGCACGATCATTGGATTCGGACGTGCCTTGTTGTCTTTAAAGTAGCTTAATTCTGTTTTTGGAAGAACAATCACTGAAAGCTCTCTTTACATTTTGTTTTTGTGCTTATAGATTTCATGAGGAAAATATCTTGAAATGCAAGTTTAGCAGGCAACTCTGGTTTATTGAAAAAACAACTGCTGCTAAGATTAAAGTAAAATGCAAATTGAAGTAAAAACTCTGTCTGTCCTTCTCCCCCACACACACAAATGCGAACTTAAAAAATACAAAGGGATAGCACAAGAGGTGTAAGCAAGCAGGCTGGTTCACATTAGACTAGTTGTACTAGTTGACATCGGCAACTCCATAAACTGGCTGCATTCTTACAATGATCATGACATGAATGGCATGTCAGGAAATAACTGAAAAGTTTTGTATCTGTGATGGTTATGATTCACTTGATTAACAAAAAGTCTCGAATTACATCACATTTTTTTAAAAAACTAATCTATCTCTCTCTATCTATATATTATCTATATGTGGGTCTCTATGACTGTTTGGATGTAAAAAGATATCAACAACAACCCATGAGAGGAGGAAGTGCTGCTTTAAACACAAGCTTATTTGCCTGTGTCCTCAGGGCAAGGAGTTCCCATAAAAACCACACACCGGACAGAGTGATTACAGAACGTCACAAACGTACATCAAACACATCACTCACAATCTCTCACTTCCAGTCCCCTCCCAAACTCATTTCTGACACAGAGGATTCGGATCATGTCACAATCAGATATTCCTTCATTGCATCTATGACTGTATTCCCACAGCAGAATATGGTTGTCAGTCCTGTTTAAGAGAGTTATATACGTAGCCTACATTCGAACAGTCGATTTTCTCAATTTATTACAAAGTTCCACTTTCAAATTGTTTTAAACAACAGCAGACAGGAGCGGATTTAACAATGACTACATCTGAAAAGTCAATTGACGACGTTATTTCAAAAAGTACCAACCGAGTGGAAATGCACCAAAGTTTTGGTCACTGAAACTTTGGGAAAAAAAATTTGAATACTGGCAAGGATTCTCGAGCATTTTGTAGGGTAAAATATGAGTATATATATATATATATATATATATATATATATATATATATACACTCACCGGCCACTTTATTAGGTACACCTGTCCAACTGCTCGTTAACACTTAATTTCTAAGCAGCCAATCAGATGGCGGCAACTCAGTGCATTTAGGCATGTAGACATGGTCAAGACAATCTCCTGCAGTTCAAACCGAGCATCAGTATGGGGAAGAAAGTTGATTTGAGTGACTTTGAACGTGGCATGATTGTTGGTGCCAGAAGGGCTGGTCTGAGTATTTCAGAAACTGCTAATCTACTGGGATTTTCACGCACAACCATCTCTAGGGTTTACAGAGAATGGTCCGAAAAAGAAAAAACATCCAGTGAGCGGCAGTTCTGTGGGCGGAAATGCCTTGTTGATGCCAGAGGTCAGAGGAGAATGGCCAGACTGGTTCGAGCTGATAGAAGGGCAACAGTGACTGAAATAACCACTCGTTACAACCGAGGTATGCAGCAAAGCATTTGTGAAGCCACAACACGCACAACCTTGAGGCGGATGGGCTACAACAGCAGAAGACTCCACCGGGTACCACTCATCTCCACTACAAATAGGAAAAAGAGGCTACAATTTGCAAGAGCTCACCAAAATTGAACAGTTGAAGACTGGAAAAATGTTGCCTGGTCTGATGAGTCTCGATTTCTGTTGAGACATTCAGATGTTAGAGTCAGAATTTGGCGTAAACAGAATGAGAACATGGAACCATCATGCCTTGTTACCACTGTGCAGGCTGGTGGTGGTGGTGTAATGGTGTGCGGGATGTTTTCCTGGCACACTTTAGGCCCCTTAGTGCCAATTGGGCATCGT